TTACCAGTGAGATATTTCCAATGTTTTTTCTTTATATTCATTTGGGGCATATAGTAAACTTCGATTTGGACAAGATTTTGAGTTGAAAGGACTTACCGCAGTTACAATTTTTTACCAAGCCTCGAATTTCCATGGTGACGGGTACCTTCCGGGCATGAATGCGTTGATCATGGTATCGTCTGTGTCGCTGTAGTGCCAAATCGCAGTGCTTTTATTTGCTCCTATGGAAGCTTCGTTGAGCTCGTGGAAGCGGCTTTTCCTTTTTTTCTCTCATGAGAAGGAAAGCACCTATCTCCTGAGTGCTGGTGTGCTCTGATCAGCCCTGTGCTGCTCTCTGCTTCCAAGGGGTGCCGTTGGGTTGGGCGCGGCCTGGCTTCCGAGAGCCACTGCAGACCAACCCCGGGACACTGAAGAGACACATAGGTGGCACACAAGTGAGTTACACAAGCATGGGCTCTTCTGGACGCCTTTTGAAAAGTGTTAGTTACACATCCATCTGCGAAGTTCATTCTTTGGAGCCTGTAATTGGGTGGGTGGGTGGGGGCTATAATGACCCACTTAAAATGATGAGTGCTATTCAGGCCAAGGGAGGGATGGGTGTTTGCAAATGGATGAGTTGGTTCCTCTAGGCCTGGGAGTTCTCCTGCTGGTTGGGCTTGGGCCCTCCCCTCACTCTCCATCACGTTTGCATCTGAATGTCGTTAGGTAGCATTGTAAATACAATAATAGAGTATATACTAGAGATATAGGGCACTTGAGATTTTACGTTCAGAGAATCTATAGTTCTACATATATATTTAGTTATATCACCAGACAGAATTCTTCTACGCAGTGTGGAGATTTGTTCTATACCACAGATTATTTTTATAAAGTCTAGTGAGTGTGCGTAAGAGTGATTTCGTAATCAGAGCCAATGAGGTCTACCTGTCGAGAGAATTGTACACTGGAGCACGGGTGGTGTGGAGCTTGTCCTGAGCGCTCGTAGGGATTCTCGACATACACTGGCAGATTGGCATTGACGCCTGGGCCTGCTTTGGCCCAAGCCCCACTTGTGGAATGGGGGAGGCAAGAGGAACCCCAAATGTGTTTCACATTTGTGCTTCTTACCGAAGTTGCTTTTGAACAAGGGTTCTGAGGCTGAAATGTAGTTTGAAAGTTCCTATGCCCAAAGGCAGATCGGCCTGGGGCCTGGCTATATGAGGGAGGCTGTTTTAGGTGGGTAGGTGGGGGTACCGATGTAGGGTAGGGCTAGGATAAGACTTTTGGTTCCAAAAACTTTGAAATGGAGATTTGATGACTTGAGACTCTGCCAAACTGAATTAAGTAGGACCAAATCATTCTATTTGGGGGTAGAATGATCCGGTTGGTAATTCTTCTGGAAGATGGGGGTGCAGTTACAGGTGGACGTGGCGATGGAATTAAGTGCAGCGCTCCCAGGCAGGGTGGGTCCTCTGGCCAGAGCCTTTGGGGAATGAGGGAGGGGCTGGGTCGGCCAGCTGCTGTGATCCTAGTGGGTTACCCAGGAGCCCGAGGAGGAAGCCCACAACCCCGGGCCACAGCGGGGCATTTTCTCTCCCGTGAGGTTTCCTCTCCCGATCAGCATCACCGCCATGACATGAGAGGCGGTCTTCATTTTAGCCATTCTTATCTTGGGGTAGAAAGTGGGCGGTTATGTGGGAGGGTGCCGCCTTTCGGCCGGGCCACAGGGGGAAGTGAGTACAGAAGCTGAGTCCTGGTGTCTGCAGTCGCCAGTTTTGTGACCTGACCCCCCAGATCCTGCCTGTTGGCCGTGTGTCCAGAGGCACGGGGGTAGAATGGTTTTGTCTAGAAACCGGGTGGCGTTTTAAACCAACTGCTGTTTTTCTTTTATTGTTTTCATTCTGGTTCAGACTGAAGTTTTACATTTCACCCCCTTTTGTATGTGGGATAAAATTAGCTTCAGCAGAGACGGTAGCAGCATCTCCCCCTGCGCCCCATGCCTGTTCCCGGTTTCCCTGAAAGGACATTGCTCCGTTCTCCAGCCTGTGTCTCGGGATGTAATTATGTCGTGCGTTTGTTTTTGTCACCCTGTTGCCCCCAAAAGCAACTGCTATAAGTGCTGTTCTACCTGTCTTTTCTAGCCTCCAGCCCGCCCCCTTCCTCCCCCCAGCTCTCCTCGTGTGTGCGATCCACATAGTTCCAGAACCAGTCACCTCAGACCTCACGTTGAATGGTGTCGCCATCTCGCTCCTCTGGTTCCTGCAGGCCTGTAACACACGCGCGCAGGAACCCTGCCAAGTATGAGCCCTTGTTTGTTGGAAAAGTAAAAATAAGACAAAACAAAAAACCCCACAACTCTTTCCAAAGACTGGGAAAGGGGGCTTCTGGCAAGCTTGTCCCGGCACTGTGGTGGGCCTCCGGTGTCCCTGAATGGTGCTTCCTACGTTCCTTTTTGAATTCTGCCATTTTCAGCCTCCTGTGTCTGCATAGGCAAAGTGACCGTTTGGTTTGGTCTTCACGTGAAAATCCGTTCCAAAGATGAGCTCTCTGTAACACATGTCCAATCGCGAAAGCTCAAATGTAGAACATTCCTTTAAATGGGAGAATTAAAAAAAACAAACAAAACCCCCACCATTCACCACAGTGCATTTTGGGAGGATGTCTGTAACATATTTTGCTGTGAAATTCGGCCTTGCAGGATATGGCTGTTTGTCGTTTTGATGTATTTTAAATAAATATATATATATTTTTAAAGAGCCTTTTTTTACCAGTTGAAAAGTTTAATTAACCAGCCGTCACCACTTCTGAATTCTTGTCTCTGGGGCATAGCTGACAGACCAAGAAGGAAAGTGGTAACTCGGCCGCAGGCGGTGGGCTGCCCGCATCCCCCTGACCACGGAGCACCAGGTCAGTGGGGCTGGGTGGCCCGGCTCAGCCCACGCGGCGTTCCGTCTCTGGTCTCTGCCTGCTTCAGGACCTGCTGATCTCAGAGCACTGCCACACGTCGTTATGTGTCTTTAGCCAAATACGTTCTCCATGAAGGAAAATCAGAACAAACGCCTGCTCATTTAAAGTTTACCCACAGTGACAGAGATGAGGGGAGGACAGACCGGGCAGCATCTGAACACTGCCCACGTCAGTCATCGTGTGAGGCAGCAGGTTCTTGGGAGACAGCAGGTTCTTCAGGAGGCCGTCTGTCTGACTGTCCAGACCACCCGTGAGCAGAAGCGTGAACATGCCAGCAGCTTCCTGTTGTTGTTTTTCCGTTTGCCCTTGTGTTCTAGACTTCTGCAAAAGTGCAAAGGAAATGGAGTGGAACTGAGACTTGGGGGTGAGGGTTACCGCAGATCAGAAACACCCTAGGGTTCAGTTCCATTGCCACAAATCCACACAATGCCGTTTGTCAACTGTACGAAAGAATCTGCTTGTGAAGGTGCCATGATCTTAATGGCAGCATCTAAGGCCACATTTTTTATCTGTCAACATGCTTCCATGTTGATCTTTGAATCGGAATAACTACCCAGGACTGTCAGTTTAACGTAGACCGAGTTTGATGACAATTCTTGTGTAAAGAGCTTTCTGGATGTAACAGACATACAGTTAAAGAACACAGCAGAGTACAAAATTCGGAGGGACCGTCTTGAGCCAATAGAAAATATTGCCTCTCATTTGCCATCGTTATATATATATATATATATATGTACATCCATATATATATATTTCAGTTCTATGAGCTACTTCTAAATCTGTACATTATGTGTAAGGAAGAGAAGGAAAATCCTAAGACCTGTCTAACTTAGTGGAACTTGAATGTATGTGGGTGGGGTGGGGGGGTTAGGATGGATAGCAAAGTCTTACTGCGCTGTGTTATCTCACTTGTATATAAAAATTGTATGGAAACGTTTGGATTCCCCTGTTTTCTCATGATTTGAAAAGGTAAATAACCGCAGACTCTGGAAGTGTGACTGTAGTCCATGACTTAAGCTGTAGAAGAAAGGAAGGTCTTCCAAGTGCTCAAACTCAAGACTGTAGTTCTTGGCTCAAATTCAGTAAGTACTGTTCGTGTACCAGGAAATGTGAGACGTACGTGTAGTGGGTCACTTTTCACTCTTGTAGCTGTGAATTAAAATAAAAAAATTTTGTAGACCCGAAATAGCTTGTACTACTGAATTAACAAAAGTTATACTAACGTGTCCTGTTTTTTAAAAAGTACATATACACACAGTTAAGCTTGTTGCTGTTGCCCTGTCCAGATTTGAAAAGTGTGCTGATTTATAGATATATATTACACACACACACACCTAAAATGGCCTAAAGCAGACATCTGTGTCATTACAGTTGCAAAATGAAGACATTTTGGAAAGAACATTGTATCATAGTTCATGCATCTGCAGTGGATCTTTGTTCCTTTTTACTGTGGTAATTTTAGAAATGAATGTCAAGTTTGAAATTAGGTTTGTTGCATTGGGGTTTTGCTGCTTGAACTTGGCACTGGGTCCTCAAATGAACCGATGTGAATGTAGTCCCCCCCCAAGCCCCCTGTGTGAAGAAGCAGCCACACCCCAACAGAATAGGAGAAAAATCTAGAACTATTTGAAGTTTTATCTTTTTGTATATGAAAATTAAAAAAACAATTAAAAAAAACCCCACCATGTCGTGTCTTTTAGTCACCGCGTTTCATTTTCTTTATTAGAAATAAAGTGGTGTTCTCTACAGTTCCAGCGCTGTCTCAGACACCCCTGCGCCTTCCTGCTTGGTATCCATGCAGCTGTTAGGCCCGAGTGCCTGATCAGCCATGTCCTGTGGGGCTAGAGCCAAGCATGGTCTCCATTTTTGCATTTCAAAAGCCCAGGGCCCTAGTTAGGGGCTTCCTAAGGGAGCAGATCACCTGTAACTTTGGGTAAATTCTTCTGGGATTGGTGTGTGTTCTGAATCTCGTGGGTCTCCTCTGACTCTGGCCCTGTACCTTGCAGACAGCCCTGAGCAATTTTTTGTAGAGAAGCCTGGAAAAGCTGTTCTCCCCGGCATGGATACTCCCGGGAGGCCCCTCTCCCCGGCTCTGTCCAGGTGACATGAAGGAGCACAGGGCGCAGGGCCCCGGAATGTGCAGCCCTTTTCCACAACGTCGGCGATCAAGCTGGACCTTGAGCCTGCGCCTGCATATTCCTACAGCGTCTCAGAGTTCCGTGGACAATGACTGAGGAGACAAACCATGCAGGGCACAGCCCTCTGAGACACCCCTCCTAAATGTAGGTTCTGTTCCATGATGACTTAGTGAGACTTGTTTTAAAATAAAGAAAGGAGAGCTGTTCTACTGTTCCCAAACGACCTTGCGGGGTCCTTTGCAGCGCTCTCAGGATATAATTAGGGGAGCGTCACCACAGACCAGGAACAGCAAAGCAGCTCCTTTCTTTGCCACTGCTGACTGATCTCACGAAATGGAAACCCGATTCATTCATGAGATACAGTGATGGACTTGGTTAAACGCTCTCCGTCTATTCCGATGGCACCCCCGGGTGATAGAACTGCCTCAGAGGGCAGTTTGCCAGCTCTGTCTCTTGGGGCTGCTGAGTGAGTTCAGACCGCCCGCCTTTGATTTAGCAGTGGACCTCTTTCTTGACCATTATACCACCAGGGCACCTGATGGGCACTCCCAAACCAAGTGCAAGTACCATTGAGCCAGTTCTGACTCACGGCCACCCCACAGGGCAGGGTGGCCTCTGGATTTCTGAAACTAACTGTTGAGAACAGTAGAAGGCTCCATCTTTCTCCATTTTAGTGCCGGGTGGTTTTGAACTGGACACTTTGTGGATCACAGCCCATTACATAACCTTTTGATGGGCACTGCTGCCTAGCAAAGGAAACAGGCGATCTGCTAGAAATCACCTCTTTTTTTTTTTTAGCCTTATTTGGGACAAAGCCAAGACAAACACATGGACATTCAGATAAGGGGCCCCATTAGAACAAGCCCAAGTGTTTGCTTCTATACGGATCTTTTAAAAGGACATAGGTGGTCAAGGGAAACTCACAAATGCATGGTTGGCATCAGACCAGTATAGTAACAGGTGGAACTACTGGAACAAGAATGGGCCCTTAAGTGGGATATCCATGTTGTGGTAGATGGTGGTGCTTACAAGACTGGTCCAGGGGCTTTCCCAAGGCAGGTGAGGCAGGACGACTATTCAATCCCCAGCATGATGATCTCCATGAAGGACATACCAGGCAAGCCTGATTCAAGGGAGACTGCCCTTCCCTGGACTGCTCAGGTGGGTGAAGGTAATACCTTTCTCAATGCACTGTTCAAGGACAAGACTTCACGTGTGCGGTCAGTGTTCAGAGGGAATTCAATGGAGGCTGTCCACATGGGAATCTGCAAAATGGATTTTGGGCTTTCACGGTCACCCAGAACCTGCAAAGTGGATGCTCAGAATTTAAGTTTTAATGTAATTCCCTCCTCTGAATTTTATTTTTACAATCCCTGGATCACACAGGCTGGCATGCTCCTTCTGTGTGGACTTAGGTAACGGCTGCTTGTTTAAGACAAGCTGTGAAAAAGGAAAAAAAAAAAAAAGAAAGACAAGCTGTTAATTATCCAGACCCTATTCTTCCTGATAGCCATCTTTCTTCACTGTACTTTGCTATAGGACCCATATCTTCAGCGATCATGAGGGCAAGTTTTGATGAAGACCACATCCTATGAAATACATAAAAGCTTAGTTTAGGGCTTATGATTAAGTGTGAGTTCAAAATCCATATATCTAAGGTTTATACACTTCCTTTGTCTACTTCAGTGACAGCATTATCAGCTTCTTGAGAGACAGTCTATAACCTTCGTGGCACCTTCAGTAATGCTAATACGTGTAGTAATTCTAATACGTGTATTGATGTAGGTTAATGGTATAGAATTTAAAATACTATTGATAAGGAAAAAATATATGAATGCTTTTTAGATTGTTCACCTCTATAGATGACAAATCTTCGGTGACTGGTCCCTATTTAAGAAAACAATGAACATTAGACACAATGCCCATTACTGCTTTTTACAGTAACGATGGATTTACTTGGTCCATGACTAGTATTTGCTGGTGTGGTGAGAGACCAGCTTTGAACCCTTCCCGTGGGGGTTACTACCTTTTTATTCACCCCTTACAGGAACTCCTTGAAGAGCCGCGTTACTGGAGGAAGAGCCTTTCATTTAGAAATCCGTTACATCATTGGCCCCTTTTGTTCTTTCAAATTCAGAAAGCTCACCTTTCATCATTCAGTGTCCTTAATGACAGCTATAGAGAACAGGAGGAAGGTCAAAGACTGACATTTTTGGAAGGATGACCTTGGAGCTAGATTAGCTAGAAGGTTAGACTTTAAGGGTCCCCTGCAATCCCTTAGCAAGTGCTCCTTTCACTGAGAGATGGTTTTGTTTTGTGTTAAATATTTTATTTCTGAAAATTCCGTGTAAAAACAGCAAAACACTCTCATTCAACATGACGTCCAGTGACATTTTGGACAGTCTTCGTATTGTACAAACATTCTCATGTTTTCTGTTCACGTTTCAACCCCACCAACGTTGCCTCCCAGCCTTCACACCTGTGCTTTAGAGCAGGGGCGGGGAACCTTTTTTCCTGCCAAGGGCCATTTGGATATTTATAACTTAATTTGTAGGCCATACTGGCCAAACCCTTAATTAGCTCACCCCTAGTGTGAAGGCCCAGGAGCCCCGTTGGTGTAGTGGTTACATGCTGAGCTGCTAACCACAAGGTCAGCAGCTCAAAACCAACAGCTGTTCCAAAGGAGAAAGGAGGCTTTCTACACCCAAGAGTGACAGTCTCAGAAACTCACAGGGGCAGTTCTACCCTGTCTTCTAGGGTCTCTGTGCATTAGAATTGTCTTGATGGCCGTGGTTCGGTTTGGGGGTTTTGTGGCCCGTGGGCAGGATGTCCCGCACCCCTACTTTAGCCCGGGTCCATTTTGACTGAGACAGCAAGTAGTAAAAGGGCTCAGGGGCCGCCTGCTCAACTTGCCCTCCTTAGCCCCTCCCTTACGTCATAAGCACCCCAATTGGGCACTACCGGGTTCTCCTGAACACAGATCAAAAAGGACTGGTTCAAGCTTCATTTTACGGGAAGTTAACCGGTAGGCAGGTTGCGCTCACTTCCATTTCTGACCACTTGGGGGCACGTGTGCGGTGCATGGTTCTCTGCAAGAGCATCTCTTCTTTCATTGTGATGGCTGTCGAAACAGTGCCTACAGTTCCTGAGTCTACAGTGGTGAGAACTTGCCGCCGGGAGTGAAGCCTCATCCCTGCGGGGAAACTTCTTCCAAGTCTACGGAGGAAGGCAAGAGAGGGGGCTAAAAAACTGAGTGGGGGTGGAAGGAACATGTCCGGGGGCGTTCGGTAATCCAGATTTCCCATTTCAGAGAAAGCAAAAGTGGAGATGACTCCATCAGTGTCTCACATTTCTAGCACACTTGACCCGAACTTTCACCTGTGCCGCCTTCTTCATCACCGTTCAAAAGGGAGGGAACGACCGCAGAGAGAAGCAACAGCTCAAGGTGCAGAGTGGGCGTGCCACCGTGGAGTACGATCTTAGGACACACAAAGCTATTTTTAAGAGGCTTTGGAGCCGGCTGCCAGGAAGACATCTAACGTGGCCCAGGTGTGGAGTCAGACCGGCGTTGCAATCTTGGCCCCGGAAAGCACCGTGAAGTCACCAGTCTAACCAAGAACAGGTGGTTCCATGAACTGGGAAGGATCTTCTCGGGATTGTACATACAGTGACCGTCTGCTTCCGGAAAGATTCTCGCATTGCCATCGAGTTCATTCCAACGCATGGGGTCGTGCGGGAGCGGGTAGAAGGGCAACCAGGGGTTCCCAGGGCTGCAAATCCCGACAGGAGCAGTCTTTCTCCAGCACAGCAGCTGCTGCGTTCCAACACTGGCCCAAGTGGTAACACTCCGCGCCTCTAGGACCTTGGGAACCTCGGGGGCCGTTCCACCCTGTCTCCTCCGGTCCTGACGATCGATCGGCGACTCCGGGCTGCGACTGTGCGCGCGCGCGCGCGCATGCGTCCGTGTGCGTGTGTGTGTCTACGTGCCCCGCTGGGAGTGTGTGTGCGCGCGCGCGCGCGTGTCTAGGTGCCCCGCTGCGAGTGTGCGCGCGTGCGCGTGTTTAGATGCCCCGCTGCGAGAGTGCGCAGGCGCGCGTGCGTGTTTAGCTACCCCGCTGCGAGTGTGTGCGTGCGCGCGTGCGTGTTTAGATGCCCCGCTGCGAGAGTGCGCGCGCGCAGGTGCCCGATGCGAGTGTGCGCGCGCGCAGGTGCCCCGCTGAGAGTGTGTGTATGTGCGCGCGCGCAGGTGCCCCCCTGCGGGTGTGTGTGTGTGCGCGTGCGTGTCTAGGTGCCCCCCTGCGGGT